CATCGTCTTTTCACACTTTTTAGCTTTTGGAAATGTTACCACCACCACTACCACCACCCTAAAATACTGTGATAATTGTACATATTTTTACAAGTAGTTCTAAACCTTAAGATACGCTATCAAATATAGCTGCTGGCAATGTGAACTGGTGCGATTTTTCTGCAAGCCTTAAATATAAACCCTGGTGGTGCTCCGAGTTAGCAGATGGACCGTTGACCACAAAATAGGGAGTTCGACTCCCTGGGCCACTCTCTAGAAGAAGGATGAGGACGAGACTGTCTCCTACCATCAAGGTGATGGTTTTGGGAACCCAACAGAGGGTCTTGATGAGTTGGAATCAGTTTGGTGGCAGTGGTACCTCCTTACTCCAATATACCATTTTAAAAAATTCAAGAGGAAATAATCCAGCCTATGTGTAATTTTTGGCTGCGAGGATCGATATTGAGAGTGCTGGTTATCAGTAATGAATCCCTAAAAGGGGCTGTGTTAAGAAATCTATAGGAGACCATTTAAGTAAATTAGTGTTTGTTTATCTATACAGTGAGGAGACACAAGGGATGATATTATAGCAACATTTAATGAAATAGAATAACGGTGGCAATATATTAAGTAAATAATGCTATTAAAAAACAATAGTTATGATCCCATTATTCTTTAACGATCCCATTATTTTGAATAAACAGAATGCTATATCAAATACTTCAAAAACATATAAAGTGGAGACAATTTCTGAAATGGAGGCATGAGGGGTCTATGAAGCCTTTTCCCAAGAACCAATCATAACCGGAAACAATAAAATCTCTGGAAAAACTTTTTGGGCCTACAGCAATGGAAGAAGTATCAATTTTCGACACAGGCTGTATGTTCCCACTCACAGGAAGGATGCAGAAGAGGCAAGGGCACAGAGATCAGCTTACTCGTGGTGATCAGGGTGGGGCCGGGGGATGTGGAGGAAAGCAAGACAGAAGGCTCAGGAGACACAGCCCTGCTAAGAGTGGTGAGAAACTTTGGGAATGATGATGGCTGAACATCGTGATGAATGCAGCCACTGTTACTGAGCTGAACACCGGACAACTCCAGAAAGGCCAAGTGTTTCGCTACTTACATAATTACCACAATAAGTAGGCATTTATTTAGAAAACTGAAATTTCTGGAATAGCATTTGAGCCACAATTTGCTTTTCTAGCTCCAGCTCTGTCTGACAAGCACTACCTACTGAATAGGTGCGGTGAGGAAGGCCGGGCTCGCTGGTCCCCCAGCTCCCAGTGAAAACTATGCTGCCAGTATCTCCCAGGGAGGGGAGCAGGCAGGCAGCACTTTTTATCTTCTTCCTCATAGTTCCAGGTTGCACAGCCTCTAACTCGGGCAAGAGTGGCTGAGAAGTCTGGCTCTCTCCCTCTACTTAGCTCCCATTTATAAAATGAAGTTTCCACGTCATGGGGGGCAAGTTGAGAAGGCCATAGGTTGCCACTCAGTCACGTGCTTTGCTCCTAGAAAAAGGGGGACCCAGCTACTGACCCTGGTCTCCCTACCCATGCTCCCCCAGCAGTGCCAGAGGTTTTGCTGAGGAGAGGCAGGCTGTACAAACTGAGCTCCAAATGGACGAATCCAATTGGAACAAATGGTGAGGAGGTTCAACCTCTTTGAAATAATGAAGACTGTAGTGGTAAATAGTTAAGAGGTGGGTACTTGCTAAGATTGATAGTTAAACAATAGATCAGAGAGATGGTTTACCAGAGAGAACCAGGAAAAGAGACAGCCAAGGAGAAAGAGGTTCTTGGGTCCGAACCAACCTCAGAGTCTGGCCTCAAAAATGAGGCATCAACGATATGCAGTCTAAGGGAGACATAACGTAGATATAAGGATATGAAGAGATTGAAAATAAAGGATAGAAAGAGAAATGTCATGCAAATAGCAAGCAAAGAAAAAGCTTCCATCACTGTAGTCATAACAAATAAAAGAGATCTTAAAATAAGAACTAGAGATAAAAGGGGTATTTTTATAAAAATAAATGGGTTAATCACTTAGAAAGATGTAACAATTAGAAACCGTATCTGCCCATTCACAGAGTTCTAAAATTCACGATGCAAAACCTGAGGGAAGTGAAGGGAGATCTAGACAACTGATCAATCATAATTGGTGGGTAAACACGATTTTTAAAACTCCACTTTTAAAACTGGAGATAACAAGTAGGCAGGAAGTCGACGTGGAAATGTAAGACTTGAACAACAAAATAAACCGAAAAGACTTAGGAAATATCTCTAGAACAGTTCACTCAGTAATAACTGACTATGCTCAGAGAACACTGTCCAGTATAGACTGTATGCTACTCCATAAATATGCTACTGCAGACACGTGTTTATAATTGTTACATCTTTCCAAGTGATTAGCCCATTTATATTCATAAAAATATCTTTTATCTCTAATAACAGCTTTTAATTTAAAGTTTTTTTTAAATCTCTTATGACTACAGTGATGGCAGCTTTTTCTCTGCTTGCTATTGGCACAATATATCTCTTTCCACCCTTTTATTTCCAATCTCTTTGTATCCTTATATCTAAGTCATGTCTCCCATAGACATATGTAAATTGGTAACTATATAAACGGAAGCAATACTAAAGTGTTAACAGACATTCTTGGTGGGACTATGGGAGACTTTCCCCTATGCATTTTGTATTGTGGCAAAACATGGTATTTTCCGATTTTAATCATATTCACAGAGTTTTGCAGCCGTCAGACTTCTTCATCCCAGACAGCATCGCTGT